TTATCTTACTTTTATATACATGTAGGACTTTTCTGACCGTTCAGTCAAGACGTTATGGAGGTCACATTTAAGTCACATGGTCTCACCGTTCCCCACAATATGAATATTTTTTGGCAGACTGGCAGGCACTGTATAGACAAACGATGGGCAAAACACATAGTTTTACAATAATAATTACAATAAAAAGATAATGCCAAAAATCAGCCACACGGTTGTGAGCGTGATCTTTCATGGTCAATGTAATAGATTTTTTTATTACGTTTAGCTGTTAGCTCGTCGCATGAGAATAACTTTGTACTATCTCACATTTTTACGGAACTGAGAAATCAAGGTTTGAAAGTTTAGAGGTCTGTATCTTCCTTAGTTTTGCTATGTGAAATTTGATTTTTTGTATGTCACCTGGTCTCACCCTAGAGATATCTTATATGAAATATCATACCTTGAAACAATTTACAAGATCCTTTTTTAAAACTATGGAAATGGAGTTGATACAATTTCCCACCGGAATAACAGCTTATTTCAGTGTGAAATTGTACCATCTCCAGACAAACAGCTTATTTCTAATTTCAAATTAATATAAGATTGTTATAACTCAAGTTTTGCAAGTCACATGACCAATTCTTAGAGAGTTGATTGGTTGAAACAGTTGATATCAGATATGACAATTTGAAATTAGAAATAAGCTGTTTGTCTGGAGATGGTACAATTTCACACTGAATTCTAGCTTAATGAGAGGGAATTGAGATGGGGCATGTATCTGAGATGAAAGCCTGTGTTTCAAATAGTAAAATTCCATGTCTATCTCAATTTTTTTGAAAATGGCAGTTAGTACAAAGTTATTCTCACGCGACGAGCTGTAGCTTTGAGTAAGACTATAGAACTACACGTGACTGGATCATTTTTTCAGACTCAGACTTTAAGATAATGGGGAAGAATGAAAGGAATACTGAGATAACCTCCAACTTTCCTACACTGATTATCCTTGAAATCGACAACTGGTGTTTTTAGAAATTATTATATCAATGGGTCTATGATCAAATTTTTCATATGTTATCACCTCGTCATGGTTTTACATGTCCACTCATGTTGAACTTCACGATAACCAGTTATTAGTTTTTGATATAGTTTATGGTAAATTATTAATCATTAAATACTCTTTTTTGTTACGCAAATTCCTTTATAAAGCCCTGTATTTCGCTTTCAAGTCACCTGTATTCATTCTACAGACGGAAAGCAAGAACCGAAGCATCTAATCATAAACGTGAGTAGAGTATTACTTTTATATTTAAATCAAGACACCTCAGTAACCATACCTGATCAAAAACAGTCTGCAATATTCATTATCAAGACAATTTATGGAATGTTTTGTTCTTAAAATGTGTTTTCTTTCATGAATAAAGTAAATCCACTCGATTATTGTTTTACCGTTTGAATGAAATAACGACGAAATTTTTGACCCCTCTCCGAGATTTTTATAACTTGTCTGATTTCCATAATGCTGGTGTTGTTACCTCATTAGAAAAGTCTAAACTGAAAGTTTCAATTTCCATGGATCGGCCTCATTGACATACAATTGGATATCAAAATAGCGGTTTTTGAATTTTCAAAGCGCCATAACTTCTGAACCGAAAATCAAATCAAAATTTGGTTTACAGATCCAAATTCCTGAGAAAACTCTACACTTTTTTCACCTCATACTTTGAATTTTGAGAACTCTTTATTTTGATCTATTTTTGGACAAAATTAGATCTAAAATTCGGAAAAAATGTATCATGATAGTTCTGTTAAGACAGTTTGCATAAACATTCGAGAATATGCAAAAAAGCAAAGGTATTCATTGGCAGTTTTTGAAATATAATTTTCCTCTCAAAGCTAAAGGTCTCATATAAAGTTAAAACTATTTTGGCTTATATTGTAGTCTTACCCAATATTATCAAAATGCGATATGTAAAACTTGTGGTTTTTGAAGGACTTTTAGCTCGAAAATCGTGGATTTATTTAAAATTAAGATCTAAGAGCTCACACATATATTCTAATAAGTGATAATTCACACCAATGCATAGCATTCATCCTCACGTATACATTTTTAAATTGATATTTTATATAAAAATAAAAATTGAAGTATTTTAGTTAAAAGTTTAACATATTTAGAAAATATTGACATAGAGTTAACGTTGTTATTGAATTTTTCCGAAAATGTCTGCCGCCTAAATGACATCACGACGATGTCACTTATGGGGCAACGTTTTTTATATCCTAAAACATTTAAGTGGCACATTCTATATGACATTTTATTATTGAAATATTATGTAATTTGTTCCATCTTTGCAATAGTGTTTAAAAATGATGCATTTTGCACTGTATACCGGATTATTTGATTATCAAAAAAAATTTTTTTTTGAAAAATGGCGAGATATTTGAATATTTTCAATATGTTGTATCTCTTAAATAACTTTGAACGTCATAACATATAGTAAATGATAGTCTAGCTACAAGCCCTTACACACGACCCGTGTGAGATGGTATTTAGTCAAGTAGAGAGAGAGGGAGGGGGGTTACAGAGGCTTGAAGCAAGACTAACTACTTAGTCAAATTATAAAAACTTTATATGGGGACTTTAAGAGATTGCAATTTTCAAATACTTAGGCGATTCACGTTTAAAATACTCAATAATGGCTAGATTCTCATGGAATAAAACATTGGAAAGCGATTCAATTCAATATGCTAAATGATTATCTATCAAACAGAGCATAGATAAAGTAGGCACGATTGCACTGAACGAAGACTAAGAGAATGGTGCCAGCCCTATCACAAACATTTTTTAATCCCATCATTCCTTGCACTGCGAAGTCTCCTGAAAGCCAATGATGCAACTTAATTCGCTCTTACGTAAATAAAAATCTTATTCGGGGTTACAAGGGGAATGAATTACCTACTTGTATTTAAATTTCAGATGTTGAGCGCCAAGATCGGAGTGTGTGTATTAGTGGCACTTATCGTAGTGATCGCGAGTGCCGACCAATGCGATCAATGTGAAGCATGGATCTATACTTCATGTCCAAAAACTCCAGCATATTTTGCGACAACGTCTAATGATATGAAACAGAGGTTGAGAGACCTGTGTTGTGACTCAAGTCAACACACCTACGGTAACTTAGAGTCAGTGTGCGCAACAACCTAACATTTTGTCCGAGCCCACGACCTGGCGACAATGTAGTTGGTTCTTAAAATATTTGAATGGAAGAAGCAACCAATACAATAACACACGAAAATAATAAGTTTTTGTTTTAAATTTACCCTCGTTTAACACATACAGACACATATAAAGGCCCTCTGAAAAGCTAACTCAAGCTCATATTGTTTTTGTAGTCAACAAATGTAATCAAGCAGTAATCTTATGGTTAGGTTTTCTTGGAATTGCAAAATGTTCCCGACCTCACAAATGTTAACAAATGTCTCGAATAAAATTTCAACTCTAGGAAAATAACAATAGGATAGTTAGAAATAATTCCAAGCTTTTCACAGTTCTATTCATATATATAAGATCTCGATTTGAACAATCATATATAATACTCGTTAAGCATTCAAAGCCTTGCACTAGCTATATCTATGTTCATGTAAAGGTGGAACGATGAAAGGGGTCATTCGTCAAGCAAACGCAAGCACGTTGCAAGCATGCGATGTCGCAAAGCCCCTTTTTAGCGATCACGTAATTTATCTGTAATTCCATTATCTTTCAACCAATCTACTCGAAATTTTCGAGGTAAATGGTTTAATTGTCATGTGGTATCACAATGCGAACCCAAGACCTTCCGCTCTCGAGTCAGACGCTCTACCCCTGAGCCATAACGGCTATCCTCTTCAGCTGACATCACTGTAACGACCCTTGCGACATACTAAAAGCACAATCAGACTTTTATTAACCCTTTCACGACGATAGGCTCCATATGGAGCCCTATTATGTAATACCTTTCAGGACGTTAGGCTCCTTTTGGCACCATTATTTTTATTTATATACATCAATGAAATGACAATATATCCAGTTCTATTCAGTTTTACACCAAATTTTGACAAGGTGTTCTTATGTGATAATCCTTACTAAAAACTGTACATCAGTGATGAAATCCAAGGTATGGGTCCCAGGGCATATTTTGCAGTTTTCCCCTAAAAAACACTCTTACTTATCCGTCACTGGGGACAACATTTTCCTCTTATATTCACGTCGGGAAAGGGTTAACCAAGATGTTTTCAATGAGAGGCATTGTGGTGAATAACTCTCCCTGACCGAGATGAAACCCTTTTTTCTCGGTCAATACTCAACTAATATCCCACATTTTTAAAGTATATTATAGCCAGGGGTATGTAATATGATGTATATTAAAAAAATATTATTAATTCAGTATTGAAACCAATATACAGCCCGATAGAGATTGGGGGTTATTCCAATGACCTCTTCTTTGGAATATTGCACACCAGAGAAATAGAATTGATAAAAAAGGTATAGTTGTAGCCAAGTTTAGTTTCTCTAAAGATGACAAATTAAAAACTTCAGATTTCATGAACATCAGACATCATGATGAAAAGAAATAATATTTTGAAGTTTTGATATGGTGATTCGTATTCTAATACTCGATAAAACTGCAAACTCCTTGTGACACTTTGTCTTACTAACATCTTATCTGTCCTACTTTCTAACACAAATCAAGATACTCTTATTCAGTCTGCCCCTAGTAACCAATGATTGCATTTAATCTTATATTCTTATTACTTCTTTCGCTTCACAGGGGGGGAGGGGATTTGATCTCATCCATTTTTCATGATGTTTTAGTTCAGTTCAATTCATTTTATTTCAAATGAATTAGATACAATACTTCACATTGACATAAAACTAAAACAATGAGGAAAAAGAAGAAAAGAGCTTTAAAATACTTTTTATTTGAAGCTTCTAGCTTAATTTTGAAGGAAGCTGCATCAATTTTTGTAAAATTCAAAATAAATCTTATTTTTTGGCCTGTTTATGCCATAATCGCACAACCTGACTGAAAACCGTCTTTTGGCGATCGCAACCCCTCTGACTGAAAGCTGGCTACGCCCCTGACTACTGTTCATAATTTTGCCATGCAATATTAAATTTTGGGGAATTTGAATCTGTGCAATAATATTTCTGAGCATCGCCAAATATTAGTTGTGTCTCTTACATCTTAAATCTGTGCATCGTTATTGTCAAACACAAGATATTATTTGTTCATGACTTCACGGACCTAAAAATGGATTGGAAACTCGATGGAACTCGAGAGAACTTGTCTAGGCCTTAATTTGCTGTAAGAGGCGCTGTAGTATTCAACAACGTCATACTCCGGATCCGTGGTGGTTTCTAGGCTACACTGTAACGTTTGGGACAATCTGATGTGTCGTCATCCAGACTATAGCGTCTATTTGAGCTTGCATCAATACTAAACTTTCTACTACCGTCATGCAGTGGAGATATGGAATTGTATGCTTCATTTTTCCAGGATTTTGAGTACTCGGCAACAGCCTTGTGCAGGAATTTGTACTCTTCCTATAAGAAATCAGAGAGAATTTTGAGATATTAATGAAATTCATATTTGAATACATGTAGACATATATATCTATATGTTTTGAGATGTAATAAGTCTGTCATTCCTGCATTGATACTTTGATGTTGCGGAGAATTTTTAGAAGTATTAACTCTAAGATAGTGGGGACTTTAAGCTTGCAATGTTTTTCACAACGTAACCGTGAACGCAGTCCATGAATCATTACAGTAATGTGTATAGTGCGCATACAAAACAAGCGCTAATTAGTCTACTTCAGATAACCAACCAACTTCAGTTTCGTGTGAAGAACGGGAGATTTGAAATTTCGCAGTGGTGTCAACGAGATACTCATGTCTATCGAATACTATGCTAGCAATTTTGATTTCGATGCACAGTATGATGCTTTCTGATGAAAATGATGTATGTCATACATGTTTTAGCTCCAAATATCTTAAGAAACGAGCTTGTTTAAAATACACGATGATGTTCAGTCTATGTAATGGACTAAGTAAACACTGTAACCGAACGATTATCTATGTGAGAAGACTACAGGGATGTGTACATGGTGATTTATACGTACAGGTTTCCGTTTCGATTTCATATATAAGCTTTAAGTCTCCAATGATACTCATGATATTGTGATAAAATTAGCCCTGAGTTCTACTGAATGTTAAATCTTATGGTTTCAATTCGGGTTTAACTGGGGTTTTAAATTTTTATAGTAGTCGATGACAAGTGAACGACAACTAAAGTAGCCATGGAAATCCAATACGTCAGCAATATATCAACATGATGACACAACTTACCCACGAATCGATGACGTGTTCGTATTTACTATTGTAGTACTTGACACACCTGTAGATGTCAATAGATGTCTCCATCTTTATTCGTTCAAACAGCATAGTTAATAAAGGCATCAGCAGCGCCCTCTTTGTGTCAATTCCATAGATTATGAGGGGACCTTCATTGGGATAGCTATGCATCCAAAGTGATAACTGCTTATGTAGCTCTAAAAATGACTCAAGTTCAGGGATATGGTCGCTCCATAATGAAAATTCATACATTTTTATTTGTTTGAATTTCTTTTTAGGAACGTTTACCAGTTTTATTTTTAGATTCCTAATAGTGTATTTGTCACTGACGTTCTCTGAGCTAATCGTATGTACAACGTAGATACCGTATTGTCTACTATTATCAGGTTCTGGCAGTGTAATTCCTTGTGATGATGTCATTGAAATAATACAAGATGATTTGTTGTCATAAGCGGCCCGAAGTGCATTGATAAAATCGTTTCTGCCTGTTGGCAGTACGATATAGGCTTCTAGATTAGTATATGAATCAAACACCGGGGCATCCCTTGGTGATATTGCGTCATCCCGAGGGGACAGAATTTTCTCGAATGTAGTCAATGATTCAAATTGATCACGCAAGTAAGAAGCATTAGTTGCTTTATTAATTTGACTCAATCCCTTGATGCCTGCCTTTATATCATTGGTATTTAGCGTAGTAACTCCAAAATATAAGCTCTCAAAAAGAAGATCGTATATGAATGAATATTGTTTAGACGACTTCACTAAATGTGGTCTATAGTTTCGTATCTTCTGGACACATCTCGGAACATCGATTTTTGAATGAGATATACCTTGTTTTAATAAGGCCTCGCTTGCAATATAAACTCCTGTTTTCCCGACAGAGTCTAAACAGTGAAGGAGCATCGGGCCTTTGGTCTTATCTGGTTTTAACGATTGAACTTTTGCAATGAAGTCAGCGAATAATACGTGACTGTAGGGAACACCTTGTTTTGTCCAGGACTTAAACTGGCAGTGATTTAGGTTTCGCTTGTCACGTGACCCTGTATTTGAGATCTCGAATCGTCGAATGGCAAAGTGTGCAAGCGTCTCAATGCTTTCTAAGCGTATCGTGATGTCATCATAATTAGATACGCCCCCTTCCGACCAATATATACTACCTCTTGCGTCATCGGAAAGCATTACGATTGTATCAACATTTTGTTCCCAAACCATGCGCCAGAAATCGTCAATTGTAGAAGGTAGTGGATCCTGAGTCACAATGTACCAACGCTTAATACCAGGTGCCCTCACGTAACTTGCATTTATATAATCTGTGCTAGGATCGTAATTAAGTGTATCAAGGACCACTCTGTGTTTGTCATATGGGATATATTTATTTTTAAAACGATTCTTGAATGATTTCTCGTCTCTTAGTGCTTCAGTTATTGGTTCATCTGTTGCTTTAGGTATTTCTTTAAATTCTTTAGTAAGAGCACCACCCTTCTGTAAGCTCATGTACTCCTCATAGAGGTCATTTACATCAATCGGATGTTCGTTTTCAGCTTTTTTACTATTTCGTTTTGTCGAAACCATCCTTTCTGTCGTTGGGATCTTTATTGATGTTTCTTTCATCTTCCCCTTCTGAGAGACTTTATCTATTCCTGATAATTGTATAGTAGACAAGCCCAGAGATGAATTCCCAGTATGCCCATTTGACATTATCCCCGAGCCATTGCTTTCATTTTTTCCTTTGTGAGAGTTCATAGCACCAGTTGCAGATTGGGCCACTTGACCCAGTTCAGCCATTTTATGTTCCGTATTTTGGCGTCTCCCCCTGTTACGTTTCACAAATACGATAACCAATCCAACTGCAATCGCAGCTACAAGGATACAAATTATCCCAATGAGGACTCCAATGATTGTGATATAGTCGTTATTATTTATCTGTAAAGCAGGTGTTGCCGTAGTTGGGATAATCTTTGCTGTAGTTGTTATGATTTCACTAGGGCTACTGACTGAACTTTTCGTCTGCCCATCTAGAGTACTTATGTAGGCTAAATACACGATATACGAAGTGAGTGATTCTAAAGGTGCATTGAAGAAACCATCGTATACTTTTCCATCTCCGATTACGATCTCTACTTTGCGTGATAACTGTGTTGGTAATATTTGAGCGGTAACATAAACATTAACACCGTTTGACTGCGCAGACGAAAAGTCCACTAATTTATCCATTTCAAGAATCTGTGACGCACTACGCATGCGCCGTTCTTCAAGGGAAAGCGATGGAATGGCTTCTACTATTATCCGATAAGCGGTCAAAGGTCCTGTAGAAATACTCGCAGAATCTAAAATTACTGTGAAATTAGAACTTGTTATTTTTCCTTCTACGATTTGGGGTACTGGGGGCTTCGGCGGTGGATAGAAATCCGTAAAATATTGTCGTATCTGTTGTTGCCCCCAGCCAAGAATATTGTATGCAAAGACTGAGACTTGATACAGAGTGGCGTGTGAAAGATCTGTGACCGTACAATTCACGATTGAGGCATTCACAATAATTTCTTCTGAGAATGGATTTGCAGGTAAGATGGACTCCAACAGTTCTGTTTTTATCTGAAAATGGATAAAGTTATTTTACTGTCAAATATTGCCATTTCGTTTGACAATAAAGATGCAAATGAAATACAAGGACATCAAATGATGCTGTTAATGTAACAATGTCAATTAAACGTATCTTATTTTTTCTCACCTTATATCGAGTCACATTATGGTCTACTGGACTGGGATGGTCCCATGTAAGTGTCAGGCTACTAAACGATCTAGCCACAAGCTTTAAGCTTAAAGGACGCCCGGGTGTCGTATTTGTTGATGCTGAAAACAAATAGAAAAAGTACGAATAAAAAGTACACGTCTATACCAAGTAAAGACACAATGTAGCCTCAGTGGCGCACATGCACCTCCTCACTTAAACAAGGAATTAATCAGAAGCTGACAAAACAGGGCACTATTTCTAATTAAAATTTTGAAATGTTGAGTCAAATTCCTTAAGATTTTTTGCTTCACTTTTGAGCCCCTGTGTCTGTATGTTAGTTGTACATATCCCAAACACAGGCCTTTGGTGAATGGGATGTTTTCGCACACGATAAAACATTAGCAATGCTGGAAATCAATGAACGCAAGTAACGATATATCCGTTGTCATGGCAACTGGTATTAATTAGTGATTAACATCCTCCCTTTCCAAAATGTGATATCTGAATTGAGTATGTTCCTATGTTTGTATTACCATTTTATGTAACATAACAAAATGAGTTAGTATTTCACATAAACCAGAAAATGATATTCCATCTCGTTACACCTAAGCAGCTGCTCTTGATATTTGCAGATTGATCAGATTACAACACGTAAATACAAATACCTCTCTAGTAGCAACACACCACAATCGACATCCATTATTGTTATGTTTACACCGTTACTCATATTTGGGAATTTTGAATAAAGCAAACAATTATGAACAAACGATCAACGCATGAATAAATGAAAATAAAAAAAGAATACTTTTAACCACTGTTGTTCATATATTTGGAATAAAATCCAATTTACCAATGGTTTTGCATTGAAACCCCCGATTCATCATAATGTTAAGGTAACAAAAACAAATGAATAAGCAAGAAACACTAAGTTAAACGGTAGAGTGAAAAGAGACTTCGAAAAAAAGACAAATAAAATGGAATATCGTCCTTTGTTTTAGATTATTGTGGAGCTAACTCCTTCTTGCCCAGTTTTACTAGAAATCGGCAACGCCACGGAGAAGCAAATCCAAACGCAACGAACATTACACTATCACTATATTCATGAATCTGTAAATGTAACATTGTAATATTTACCATCTAATCTACATTTTGATTAAAGGCAGATATTAAAATACATTCATTAAACATATAAAAGAATTTCCGAGACACGAATCAGAAAAAAACATAACGACTTCGATCTACTCTAACATTTCTTTAAATTGACTCTAATATAGCCATACTTTGAAGAGATCAGAAACGTATTGCGAAATCCCGCATTGGGTGGCCATTTTGAATTTCACGAGGTCTGATTCAGAAAAAGATACAATATTTGGAATCTTCGTTCACTCGGCTCCCGTCGGTCGATGAACGCAGTGAAGACCGAGCGTGCGAAGATGAATCTAGTCTAAATTGCCTTTTATTTGAGTATAATAAAGCTATAGTTTAGACATATCTCAAAATTAACGAGAATTCTCCCGATACACGCCCCCTGGTGGACAGGCTGAAAAACACGGGGAATATGCGAAATACTTTGTGAATATACGACCAAAATTTCAAATAAAAATATTCAGTATGAAAAACTGTTTTCTAAAATACATCTTATCATCAAATATGGAGAAAATCTTTTATCAATATCGATTTATCTTCCGGACAGGCCAACGGACGGACGGACTGATGGGCGGACGGAGGGCTTCACTGTGTACTTCGTTCGTTGGGATAATTAAGTAGTAAATTTCGTCTTAAATATCGGTTTACCTGCTGTAGATGCCTCAAGAACAGTCGTATCATAGAAAGTGATGGTTGAAGTATTGGATAAACTCTCGTTGGCTGTTAAAGTTGGCACCGTTGTCATATTTTCAAGATTCGTATTAATTATGATGTCATCAGTTGATGGTGATTGGAATCGAACCCATTCTGTTGCAGGACTGAATATACCATTCATCTCAACATTTGCCTCGTTATCAAACCAAACGCAGACGACACTGAATCTGTACTCCCCCTGGCGGTCAAGTCGTGAAAATGCTAAAATGTGAGTAGATGTATCTTTTTCTCGTGGAATCCCAGCATAATACACCCATGATGTGTTAAAATGGGACGTCTGGAAGTAAACACTGTATCTTACTACAGGTGGAGACCCTATATCGCTTGTTTGGTTCCATGGTTTCCATAACAATATTATCACGTCATCCGTCACATTTCGTATAGATGGCGCAGTAGTCAATGACGGTAGTTCTAAAAGACAAATATAAAATACTATTCTACAAGCTGACAAATTACTTTTTCAATGTTTTCATTTATCTATATTTTGCTTTTGTTGTCATAGTAATCATGGTAGGTGTAAGGATTTTTACTTGAAGACATTGTTTCGTATTTGTTTATATTCCGACATGGGAAGGACTGATCGTTAATTGATATACTAGTTTTGATCATAGATTAAAAAATAATAGCCACCTATTTGACAGGTAGGAGGTTTCACCCATCCCAGAGTGCAGTTACCCGATTCGCATGTCCCATTGGTCGAACATTCTGTGTCGCCATAGTAACAGTGGCATACATCAGAGCAGTTGGTTCCAAAATATCCCTGTTGGCATGACGTATCTAGCATATGGAAATAAACAAATGAATATACTGCTATTAAAATAATACAATAGATTGTCTAAATCAAAAGAAATACATGATATTGTTCTTTTAAGTCTGGGTACCAATTAAATAATTTTATTGTTTTGTTTTATCTCTTCTCAATTAAGACAAATATTTACAGTGTCCACTTTTATTGATTATAGGTCGATAGTACAACTAAATGATCCCTTTCAATATTTAGTCGCTAAATACTATTATTTGGAGCAAACACTGCGAGCTGTCTAGTAAAGGATTATTAGGGAAAACATGGGTTCGATTTAATTGATCAAATAGTATGTGTTGGTTTTAGTTGGTATGTTAGTATTAATTATATCCGCCTATCAATAAGATAATTAACTGGAATTTCATCTAAGTTAAATCTGCAAATAAGGAAATAAAGAATGTTGGAATATTTTTAATTTTTAGTTTTGTGCATGTGCAAGAGCATATCAATATTCATGTAAGATTTCGATTGAAACAGAAATAAATTTTATATTAAATAACAATAGATATAATGACCTTGATCCTATACACTCCACTCCATAAGTTTTGCAACCTTAGCTCCCCCATTGAACTACGTGTTAAAGCCTCTTTACGTTTGAATTTTTATTTACTTAACCGGCTATGAAATAACTTGTAATATTGATGGAAACGTAATTTGACTTTATTTCCAATACCTCCAATGTTTCTCAATTTTTCCTCAATTACAATAGGTCGAAAATTGATGATAAAATTGATGAATTCCATGGGAAATGGAGGGTTCGGGGCAAATAAGAAATCAGGATATCTTTTCAGAAAAAAAGATTCAGCAAAAATATTTTTATATAGAAAATTGAATTGTCTAACTTTTTCGTAGACTATGTGTTTAGTTTATTTTATGAATACTAAAGTTACAGCGGTTCAAAGTCATTTTTGAAAATAATTTTTCGCCTCCTGTGTTATTTCAATGGGAACGTTTTTTTGAAAAATATTTTTGACTTTAAAGCCCTCTAACTTTGTTGAACCTGAAGAAACATATCAATTTTTTGTAAAAATTAGCAAATTCAATTGCCTGCCTAACTCGTATTTTTGCAAGGACTCGGATGGATGGATAGTCTGTCGTATGACTTGCGGCAAACCTACCATTTCCCATTGGTTAAAATGGTAATGTCGATTTTCAAAAATTCATCAAATTTATCATCAATTTTCGACTTACTGTTATTGAGGAACAAATTATGTTTTCATCAATAGTATAAGTATTTTTATCGCAGGTTAAGTAAATAAAAATTCAAAGGTAAAGAGGCTTTAACACGTAGGTCAATGGGGGAGCTAAGGTTGCCAAACTTATGGAGGGGAGTGTAAAAAATACTTTAATGAGGCAAGTTTTCATGATTTGGATAACGAAGGTGGCAAAATTGAATTTCCTTTAAGGGAACATACCTGTAAGATTGTCAAAATCTAAGTGGCTTTCGTGCAGGGAAGGCAATTCATTTATAAAATATATTAATTTTAATGTATCACTTTTGTATTTGTTATTGTCAAAAGTGGTTACTAAGCAAAAAGTGGGGAAGGAAAAAGAGTTTCTAATTTTTCATAAACAAAACTATGATCGCTTATTTCCATTGTTATATTATACTGAATATATTCTGAATGTAGAAATCCATGTATTTGTCTGCACATATGTCTTGTTTCACTCTACTATACCTTGCATTTGGTGTTCATAAGCAACCCATTGGGCTTATTGGTAATGATTATGTTATTTGTTTTTATTTGTCTGTTCCTTATGAATGGTTTATCGGATGTTTATTAGATGTTAATAAGGTACTTTCAAAAATATACTAAACAATACAATTAGACTAACAAAGTATCTTATGCATTTCTAGGGGTTAGGTATAGTAGAGTGTTGTTTTAAGTATACATTTCTTTATTGAAGATAGGTGCATTCCGAGGCGCTATCTAATATATATTAATTATTACATTCAAGTTCATTAGAAATTTTACTTTTATACGTACGTATGCAAATTAAAGATGTAAAAAACTAAAAAATCTGTAAATTCTTACTTTGACATCGTATTAATGCTGTAAACTCCAACAAGGTCCATAGCAAACAAAATAGCCAGACGTTCGCCATTTTGCTGCGTACATCTATCATCCACTACAAGTGCTGTCCAAATCGAGTGTCACAATATCATCTATCGTGTTTTCATTTTCTCGATTATCGTAAAGTTGCACCAGTCCTGTTTGTGTGATCATGTACATCGATGTGACATGCTATATACATTATGCACACATACAGTCTCGTTTGTATAAGCACAGTTTGCTCTTGGAGCCTATATATATACACTCATTGTTAGCATGTTAAGTTATCTATGCTATGATGCATATGCTTGCATTGGTTATTCATGCATGTCGCTGTATACATCTTGTTTGTATTGGTATTCCAATGTTCCTGCAGCCGGTTCGTAACTACATCTGCAAAGCAATCGAATTAACGATGGTAGAAAAACACCACCGGTGTAAAAGAAATTATGGTCCCCTGGGGATTATGGTCCCCTCTCTTAAAGGCCCTTACTGGCCCTGATTGTGAATACGATAATAAGGGAAAGAGTTGTATTTAGGTCACCATATAAATCAATGGAAAGTAGGACCATAATTTGATAGGACCTCCTACCCTTTTACACCTGGCACACTAATATAATATAGCGATCTTCATATCAAGTGTGTTGTATAATTCCTGCAGCCTATGATGCTTTTCTACCCGTATTGCAAATTATGATTAAAAAGCGAATAGCAACTTGTGAGGTTATGTCCATATTCACACATAGCAAAGTGTGTAAATATATTATATTTCAAGAATTAATAACCATGAATATAAATTCCATATTAAGTATATGATCACTATCCGGTAGTTTTCCTATCACGTAGTACTCTACAACGCACTGTACCTTTCGACTCTCTTACGGTTTACATAAACATATTTTTCGAGCCTTGTGTATGCATGGTACAATATATTGACGAAGCTGCATTGACGTGTGAGGCAGGTGAGACACTTGCCTTACCAAAAATCTCAGAAAAAATGGTTTTTAGTCCAAACTGTGAAAATTATGTTTCATAATGGTAGTATGATTTCTTTATCTACAGCTTTGCCCCAATCTCTTTAAATTGCTGTCACCACCCTCTCAACGGCTCGCCTTTTTAGATTTGCCTTGCAATTTTAATTTGTTTTGCCGCCTGTTCATGAATCGTCCCTGATACCAGAACATGGTTTTATCAGAAATGTATAACATTTTTTCTCATTAAAATGACGGTCGTATATTAAAGTCAATAAATAAAATGCTTATAAATGACTCGTCGGTGCAAAACTGATATATCTTATACAATACAAACGCAGCAAACATACTTGCAAAGGCATTCTCTATATTAGCTTATCCATCCTCTCACAGGTATATCATCAGTAAATAGGCTTGGCGCAATGAGCAACGCAGATCTTATTGAACCTGTTTGTCATCCATATGATATCATTGCGAGCGCTAATAGATTTTCTTTGTAGCGTCAAGGGCGTACTGTGATAGCCTAGTATTGAAAACTAGATAGATAACATTACACGCGAGCTCTTTTCTATCAGATCAAAAAATATATTGTTTATATGTATACATATTGCTATAAATTGGATAAAACCAATAGAAGCAATGTATTGACGTTGTCTTGTTCTTGCCTCGTCTTTTTGGATTTTGCCGCCTCTTAGCTATACTCTTCTGCCTTACCCAATCTTAATACTATAAGCTTGCTGTATGTCTTTGATTAACAAACTAAAATTCACGGTAACTTAACAAAGCATGTTAAAGTGGTTACAGCTGAAAAAGTGATTAGTGACGTGAAGTAAAAATGCTCTTTGATATTTTATCCAAGGACAACTAGAAAGGAGTAAGTCATCTCGATCGATTGTATCGATTCCACTATATTCTTCATTTGCACTTGAAGATTGACAAATATACACGATGGGGATATAAATCGAATATCAATACATGACATTATGTATGTGTATTTATCCCTTTAAAGTATTGACAGTTGTTATATCTCAAATTACCAGTATGGTTATCACCGTTGTAATCACAAATATACTATAGTCATTGGCATTATAATTAAAGTCATCGGAATCACCCAGTTGAATTGGACCATATTTTTACTCACACTATTGCATTTTTATAATTATGTTAATTATTTGTAGTTTATCATTTGCCATTGATTTTGAAAATAATAGGGTCTAGTTTTTCAGCCTCTTCGAATAATTGCCATTTATACCCCCCTTGCTACTTTTATGAGGGGGTAATACGATAAGCATCAATAATTTATGTTCTATATCTCCAATCAAATTTATATTTCTAGGGAGTATGTATCTATATATAACAAGTTTCCATGACAAGTTTGATTATGCTTGGTCAAGTGGTTGCCATGGCAATACAACTTAAGAAAAAAAATTGTAAATATTTCGAATAAATCCACCAGTTCTTTAAAAGGTAAACGACTGCTAATCTCTTTGGATTGCACCAATCAGCATGAAGCTGACTTTAAAAACATATTTATGGAGTGTTCAATGAAATAACATGATTAAAATAATTAATTTAGTGATATCTATAACTCTAGTCCATAACTCTATTTGGTCACTATCATTCACATTGCTCAAAAGTGGGCGTGGCACATTTAAGTAACTATCTTGAGTAATTCATGTTAAAAACCTCCAACCACATTCATACTTTCAGTGAATATGTATGTATATATAATTTGTTGATATAGCAAGTCTGATCATGCTTGGTGAAATGATTGCCATGGAAACACAACTTACTTGTAAAGAAGTATAAACAATTTGATAAATATACACATAGTTCCAGATTGTACCAATCAATAAAAAGTTGACTTTGAAAACATGTATAAGAGTTGGTTTTAAGAAAACATGACAGATTCATCTATTAGTCAATGATATCAACTCATGGTTGATTAATTAACAGAACCTACTCTGTGTTCTTATATTGATAGATCTTAACATATTCAGCCTGGCCTTCTGTAGCAATTGTACCTGTTTTGTGATAAATAAAAGAAATATCGAAAGGGAAATACAAGAGAATCTCTAGCAAAACGTCAAACTGATACTGCATCAAAGTCTATATCGAATGCAGTCATTGAAAAAGACTGGACCCTGCATGCAAAAATCGGTAGAAGTTGCATAGTTTCTGCAAAGCAATGTACCTTAATTCATGCAGAAAATATTACAGTAAACGCCAAAACACAAATATATGTGAAAAAGTAATTGATTCATCACTCACATTTATTTGCAAATATACAGATGAAACGGTGTTGACCGGTGGTCCCGTAATTGTTACATTAGACTCTCTTCACAATATGTTCCAAACACATATGAGTAAACATAATCCAACCAAACCTACACCAAAGTACAGAAGGTTAAATAACTTCAAAAATGGACTTAGTATTCATTTGGGGAATACACTCATTTTCTATCGCCCAAAAGAATCTTCATTGAAAAATGAACTTGTATTTGGCAATTTAAGGGGCATCCCCGAAAAATCTATTGCAGAGGCTTTTCATAAGAATATCAATTCAGAACAAGATCTATTGACCAATGCTGGGTCGCATCTAAGACACATCATATTAAATGTCAAAACAAAAAAACCCTCATTTAATTGGCCCCCAAGAACATCAGAACTTCAAATAGAATGTACAAATCCATACCAAATGCTCCTAAGGAATTTTTAATGAATCTCCCCCGGGGCAATGAGAACAAGACATTAAATGAGAAACAACAGCGGCTGGTGCATTCTATTGGACAAGATATTCTCGCAACTTCAAATGGATCATTCAAGATGCCAAAACATTATTTACTAGCCCAGACACTACGTTACATTAATGAATCGTAATGGACATTGTCTGGCCTACACTTGGGTGATGCAAATCGAAACAGCAGTCTGTGAAGACATACAGAACAATGTTTCTAACTTACCCCACCATACTAATATGTACAGGGTGTCCCGAAAGTATGAGCCCCCTAGGTAGACGTATACAATGTCTCAATGGTATGTGCCATATATCATTTTAAAGCTTATCCAAAGTTACATTGATTTGCCAAGTATCATGGTTCAACTCACAAATGGTAAAAGGTTACAGGCATTTCAAAACTTAATAATGTTCAGCCAAAAATATAGTTCATTTTAGTATCCTGGAAACAGCCCTGACCTGAATATGACCATTAATATGGGTGCTATTGACGAATATAGGATGGATATTGAGTTCTAAAAAGAGGACATTAAGGGTATATACTCCAATGAAACTCTTATAAAATGGCTTAACAAATTTTTTTGAGGATTACAAAATGCCACATCCCTATTTGAAGCGCGTGAAGGGTCATATATGAAAAACATTGCTGCTGTTAACATGACATAGGGAGACACAAATCATGATCAAAATCAAAATGATATAGGACACATACTATGGAGACATTGGTATATGTCTGCATAGTGGGGGCCCCGGTGGGGGCATACTTTTGGGACACCCTGTAGTTAAGCTAATTAAATAAGGACATAATAATGTTGTAAATATGCATATATCATAGAAATTAAAATAGTATTTTAAAGAAAAACAGTGAACAATACAATATACAGTGAAATTAATCTAAATGAACTATGTATATATCTATCTACCATCTCCACACAAGCCAAACAAGTATATTTGCAAAGAACAATGCCATTCATTTATGTTACCATAGCAACCAATTACCAATAATCATCTGAATCATGCTGTTTTATTGACCAAAAATGGTTTTGAACACAACTTTATTTTGATTGGTTTAAGAGATCAGCAGTTTCTTGTTAATCTGAAATAGCTACAATTGTTTGCATGCACATTTCCATGGCAACCATTTAACCAAACATGATCAGACTTGATATATCAACTCACGATATGTATATACATAGTTCCTGAAAGTATGAACATGATTGGAGGTACATAACAGAAGTTATTTAAAATTGTTATCTCAAGGAGCCATGTCCACTTTTAAGTAGTTTGAATGATAGTGACCAAATAGGAATATGAACTAGAGTCCTAGATATCATATAATTAATCATTTTAGTCACATTCTATCATTCAAAACTCCTTAAATATGTTTTCAAAGTCAACTTCATGTTGATTGGTACAATCCGAAGAGATAAGCAGTTGTTTACCTTTTAAAGAACTTGTGGATTTATCCGAAATATTAACAATTTTTCGCACTTAAGTTGTGTTGCCATGGCAACCACTTGACCAAGCATGATCAAATTTGTCATGGAAACTTGTTATATATAGATACATAATCCCTAGAAATATGAATTTGATTGGAGGTATATAACAGACATAATTCATGCTTTTCATAGTACCCCTTCATAAATATAGCCAGGAGGGTATAAATGGCAATTATTCGAAGAGGCTGAAAAACTAAACCCTATTATTTTCAAAATCAATGAGAAATGATATAATACACATAATTAACATAATTATAAAAATGCAATACCGTGAGTAAAAAATTGGTCCCAGCTCATCCACTAGGTGTAACAATTAGTGCAGAGGGGCCATTCAAAGATCATGGACCAGTCCCACAATATATTCAAGTTTGGATATTTTATCAAGACTTACACCTTTTTTATTATCTACAAAGGGACCCACTAGATAAACATTATTTCAGCTAGTTGATCCATACATTTTAAGAAAAAAGGTATGTCAAAGAAGATGTTAAGCCAAATGTTGCCTTGATAGCTCAGAAAAAGTTGAAGTTTTCCTATTTTCTCTCTACAGGCCTCGTTGCCCCCTTAAGGCCATTGGTATCACACAGCTAATCAAGGTCATTGTCATCACACAGCTAATTAAACCTGTTGGCTTGACACATATACAGAGTGTCTAATGTGTCCCCCCCTTAATTCAAAAATATGAACTTTTATGCATAAAAGTGCATCTACATGTAGTTGAGCTTGTCATTTGAAACTTCTTGTGGAGTTGCCCCATCAAGCCTCGTATTAATATACTAAAGACAATTCATGATATCATACAGACAAAAAAGGTACATTATGCAACATTGTGTGGATGTTAAAGCTCAGCCGGGGAGAACATATTTATTTGACACCCTGTACAACATTGGGGTTTGCTTTACAAGACTGCGTTCAGAATCAAATTGATTGAAGACCATGATATTTGTGATATTATGGTATAACACCATCATTTAGACTCCTGAAAACACCAGTCATTACCGCCATCATTTCCATCATTAAAATAGTCATTGACACCCATAAGATATTACGAATCATTGACATCGATAAAAGAAATATTTATAATCATTGATGAAAAGAAGAATTGATGACATCTCTTATAATAATATCATTGATTTAAATGGTTAAGAATAATCAGTGGTATCAATGTACAACAATCATTGATGCCAATATTCTGAACCATCCTCGCCGACATTCAAAATACACGATGCTTTGGAAGCTATTAAAATTCAAAAACAAATAAGTTGTTCTCTAAAATGACGAACATGGTAGAAATCAAACTAATTATATGACTGTATATTATGATTAATACAAAGTCAAAATAAAATCATAAAACTATAAAGATACGAGAAGTTACCTTTATCAACCTATGGCTATATGTATTCGCAGCTCCAATAATGAAATGTTCTTTTCAGGTTTAGATTTTCATAAAAACTGTCTAAATATTGACACAACTGTTTTAAACGCAAAACCGTTTTTCTAAATATGGTATGACCTGCTAACATATCACATGTACAACCAGTAGTATTACAAATACATATTAATGAAATATTGGTTAACAATGAAATATTATAGATTATTCCATAATAACATGTTTTCCCCGGGAAAATAACAGGGAATAAAATTATTCAAAAAATCCCGGATCAGATCCCGTAGCAGCTAAAATCCCGTATCAGATCCTAAAATCAGATCCTGTATCAGAACTTTCAGAAAATTCCAGGAGACTAATATTATGGTATATTATGATCCATAAAAGTATTATAAATTATTTCTATTTTAAAATTTGTTAATAAAAGGTGAAAATGTCATTCAATAAACTAGATTTTATCATTTAATGCCACCATCTTTGGGCGACATACAAAACAAGTTTCAGAAAAATATTATGGAATAAATAGGTTATTGATGGTCGTGATAAAATATGAATTTTTTCCTCGAGAAAATTGGCCTCGGGAAATATCATATTGAAACTCGGACTATCGCCCTCAGTCAATATGATATTTTCCTTGGTCAATATCATATTTTCCCCCGAAATAAAATTCATATTCCATCCCTCCCATTAAATAACCGTTATCTATTAACATGATTATGAACACTGCATTGGTTATTAGGGATGTAGCTAAGATCACAAACTGGAGGCGAGGCATACTAATAAGGGAAGGAAAACTGAAGTTGATGAAAAAAAATCGGACTTATTTTCATTGTTTCAATGAAAAATCTGAGGCAACCTCTAAAGAATAGTTTTACCTTAAAAATCAATGAACAAGCACTTCCCGGAAAATGTAAATGAAATTGATTTGTAAAACAATGTTAGTTCAAGGGCGACATCTATCAACATCTTTCCGTACAATAACTGCCTGACGTCTCCAAATTCACTGTTCACTTTCAATGAGCTCATGAGATTGAATTATAGATGCCGATAAACTCAAATGGTTACAGTTAATAAGAGCTTATTTTTCTTTGATTGTCTAACAGGCAGGTCTGCGACATAAATGAAATTACACTCTATAATTGATTATTATTTCATTAATATTTTATTTAGTATTAAAGCGTTGAATTCGTTGATACAACTGATATTTAATTATCATTGGCAAATGAACAATATGGCGCAATTTCGCCCTTCCCATTTATTTGACAAACAACTTAAAATGTATTTGAAACGGGTATACAATATATGTACGTTTACAATAGAAAGTGACCATTCTATCATTGTAAAGCTGTTACTAAGTTACGACATATATAGCCTCGCTGTCAACCATATGATCGCAACTCTCTCGAGAAATCGATCAATACCCACCCAGTTGATAAAAACAGCGTGATTACGTTTTGAAACACAAACACTGTAATAAAAAGTATATGTCTTTCGCAGCAGACAGTCAATTCAATTTTAAATACTTGATATAAATCCGATCATAAAACACATAAAAAGGCATGTCGAGTAAAGAAATGTCTTAAGAAATATGCATAATTATATGAAGCGTTATCCAATGTTTTGCGCAAGGAGGGAACTTCCCCTTCCGCAATTATCCCGAGGCAATATTGTATGAATCTATATGTCAACAAAACAATCCATCTTTACTATATTATACTATATTATAGTAGTAGTAGTATTGCTTAGCATACTTACTGGCGATAATGGGTGGTTGAATGATCAATGTCAGCGACTCTATAACGAAAGCAGCATCATTTAAACGAGTATATAATCGTGGTCAGATGACATTAAATGCATAAACGAGTATAATCTCGATCAAATGACATAAAATGCATAAAGAAGTAATAATGACTTATATCAGTTTATGTACATGTATTACACTCAAATGTCGGATTAATATATATCTTAAAACTTCAATCTGAAAAAAAACAACTATCTATTCTAATGAGCTATAGCTCGTCGCGTGAACGGTGAAAATGTGCAGATGAATTACCACGTACAACTGAAAACATACAAACCTCATTTAGTGTGTGATAAATGATACCAGGAGAGTAGGCGGCGTTTCTGCGTCCCCTGGCTGCGTCCCCTTTTCGAACATCTCAGTCTACATTTCTGCATATCACATTCCTATACAGGGTAGATTGCGATAGTCTCTTCTTGATGACTAGCATTACAATGTCTCCTGATCATGAACGTGCATTGGGATCAGAGTACGACGTCTTCTGTGTTTCACGTTACAAAAGCCGCTAGCGCCTTTCGACCATCTCTATT